ACTTTTGGCCAAAATGAGGGGCTAACCCCTTGCAATTTTTGTCAAAAAGTGACATTTTTTTCACATTTCATTAAATGATCTGCAATAAGCATATTTTTAATAGACTGGGGTCAAAGAGTTTTAAATGATATGAAAAGATATGAAAATGAGCTTTTTTGAAAATTCATGAATTTTGGCGAAAATGAGGGGCCTTGACTGCCCCTTGCCATTTTTGTCAAAAAGTGACATTTTTTCACATTTCATGAAATGATGTGCAAAAGCATAATTTGAATAAACAGGGGTCAAAGACACCTTGTCAAGATGAAAGGATATGAAAATAAGCTTTTTTGAAAATTCATGAATTTTGGCCAAAATGAGGGGCTAACCGCTTGCCATTTTTGTCAAAAAGTGACATTTTTGTACATTTCATGAAATGATCTGCAATAAGCATATTTTTAATAGACTGGGGTCAAAGAGTTGAAATAATATGAAAATAAGCCTTTATGAAAATTCATGACTTTTGGCCAAAATGAGGGGCTAACCCCTTGCCATTTTTGTCAAAAAGTGACATTTTTGTACAATTCATGAAATGATCTGCAATAAGCATATTTTTAATAGACTGGGGTCAAAGAGTTGAAATAATATGAAAAAAAGCCTTTTTGAAAATTCATGACTTTTGGCCAAAATGAGGGGCTATAACCCCTTGCCATTTTTGTCAAAAAGTGCCATTTTTTCACATTTCATGAAATGATCTGCAAAAGCATGATTTGAATAGACAGGGGTCATGATACCTTGTCAAGATGAAAGGTTATGAAAATGAGCCTTTTTAAAAATTCATGACTTTTGGCCAAAATGAGGGGCTATAACCCCTTGCCATTTTTGTCAAAAAGTGACATTTTTGTACATTTCATGAAATGATCTGCAATAAGCATATTTTTAATAGACTGGGGTCAAAGAGTTGAAATGATATGAAAAGATATGAAAATGAGCCTTTTGAAAATTCATGAATTTTTGCCAAAATGAGGGGCTAACCCCTTGCCATTTTTGTCAAAAAGTGACATTTTTTCACATTTCATAAAATAATCTGCAATAGCATATTTTCAATACACTGGAGTCATAAACACCTTGTCAAGATGAAAGGTTATGAAAATGAGCCTTTTTGAAAATTCTTGAATTTTGGCCAAAATGAGGGGCTAACCCCTTGCCATTTTTGTCGAAAAGTGACATTTTTGTACAATTCATGAAATGATCTGCAATAAGCATATTTTTAATAGACTGGGGTCAAAGAGTTGAAATGATATGAAAATAAGCCTTTTTGAAAATTCATGACTTTTGGCCAAAATGAGGGGCTATAACCCCTTGCCATTTTTGTCAAAAAGTGACATTTTTTCACATTTCATGAAATGATCTGCAAAAGCATAATTTGAATAGACAGGGGTCATGATACCTTGTCAAGATGAAAGGTTATGAAAATGAGCCTTTTTAAAATTTCATGAGTTTTGGCCAAAATGAGGGGCTAACAACCCCTTGCCACTTCTGTCAAAAGGTGACATTTTTTCGCATTTCATAAAATAATCTGCAATAGCACATTTTCAAAAGACTGGAGTCATAAACATCTTCTCAAGTTGTAATAATATGAAAATAAGCCTTTATGAAAATTCATGACTTTCGGCCAAAATGAGGGGCTAACCCCTTGCCATTTTTGTCAAAAAGTGACATTTTTGTACAATTCATGAAATGATCTGCAATAAGCATATTTTTAATAGACTGGGGTCAAAGAGTTGAAATAATATGAAAAAAAGCCTTTTTGAAAATTCATGAATTTTGGCCAAAATGAGGGGCTAACCCCTTGCAATTTTTGTCAAAACGTGACATTTTTTTCACATTTCATGAAATGATCTGCAAAAGCATAATTTGAATAGACATTTTTTCACATTTCATAAAATAATCTGCAATAGCACATTTTCAATAGACTAGAGTCATAAACACCTTCTCAAGATGAAAAGATATGAAAATAAGCCTTTTTGAAAATTCATGAATTTCGGCCAAATTGAGGGGCTAACCCCTTGCCATTTTTGTCAAAAAGTGACATTTTTGTACATTTCATGAAATGATCTGCAATGAGCGTATTTTTAATAGACTGGGGTCAAAGAGTTTAAATGATATGAAAAGATATGAAAATGAGCCTTTTTGAAAATTCATGAATTTTTGCCAAAATGAGGGACGTCCCTTGCCATTTTTGTCAAAAAGTGACATTTTTTCACATTTCATGAAATAATCTGCAATAGCATATTTTCAATACACTGGAGTCATAAACACCTTCTCAAGATGAAAAGATATGAAAATAAGCCTTTTTGAAAATTCATGAATTTTGGCCAAAATGAGGGGCTAACCCTTTGCCATTTTTGTCAAAAAGTGACATTTTTTCACATTTCATGAAATGATCTGCAATAATCATATTTTGAATAGACTGGGGTCAAAGAGTTGAAATGATATGAAAATAAGCCTTTTTCAAAATTCATGGCTTTTGGCCAAAATGAGGGGCTATAAGACCCTTGCCATTTTTGTCAAAAAGTGACATTTTTTTTACATTTCATGAAATGATCTGCAATAAGCATATTTTAAATAGACTGGGGTCAAAGAATTGAAATGATATAAAAATAAGCCTTTTTGAAAATTCATGACTTTTGGCCAAAATGAGGGGCTAACCCCTTGCCATTTTTGTCAAAAAGTGACATTTTTGTACAATTCATGAAATGATCTGCAATAAGCATATTTTTAATAGACTGGGGTCAAAGACTTGAAATAATATGAAAAAAAGCCTTTTTGAAAATTCATGAATTTTGGCCAAAATGAGGGGCTAACCCCTTGCAATTTTTGTCAAAACGTGACATTTTTTTCACATTTCATGAAATGATCTGCAAAAGCATAATTTGAATAGACATTTTTTCACATTTCATAAAATAATCTGCAATAGCACATTTTCAATAGACTAGAGTCATAAACACCTTCTCAAGATGAAAAGATATGAAAATAAGCCTTTTTGAAAATTCATGAATTTTGGCCAAATTGAGGGGCTAACCCCTTGCCATTTTTGTCAAAAAGTGACATTTTTGTACATTTCATGAAATGATCTGCAATAAGCGTATTTTTAATAGACTGGGGTCAAAGAGTTTAAATGATATGAAAAGATATGAAAATGAGCCTTTTTGAAAATTCATGAATTTTTGCCAAAATGAGGGACGTCCCTTGCCATTTTTGTCAAAAAGAGACATTTTTTCACATTTCATAAAATAATCTGCAATAGCATATTTTCAATACACTGGAGTCATAAACACCTTTTCAAGATGAAAAGATATGAAAATAAGCCTTTTTGAAAATTCATGAATTTTGGCCAAAATGAGGGGCTAACTAACCCCTTGCCATTTTTGTCAAAAAGTGACATTTTTTCACATTTCATGAAATGATCTGCAATAATCATATTTTGAATAGACTGGGGTCAAAGAGTTGAAATGATATGAAAATAAGCCTTTTTGAAAATTCATGACTTTTGGCCAAAATGAGGGGCTATAACCCCTTGCCATTTTTGTCAAAAAGTGACATTTTTGTACATTTCATGAAATGATCTGCAATAAGCATATTTTTAATAGACTGGGGTCAAAGAGTTGAAATGATATGAAAAGATATGAAAATGAGCCTTTTGAAAATTCATGAATTTTTGCCAAAATGAGGGGCTAACCCCTTGCCATTTTTGTCAAAAAGTGACATTTTTTCACATTTCATAAAATAATCTGCAATAGCATATTTTCAATACACTGGAGTCATAAACACCTTGTCAAGATGAAAGGTTATGAAAATGAGCCTTTTTGAAAATTCTTGAATTTTGGCCAAAATGAGGGGCTAACCCCTTGCCATTTTTGTCGAAAAGTGACATTTTTGTACAATTCATGAAATGATCTGCAATAAGCATATTTTTAATAGACTGGGGTCAAAGAGTTGAAATGATATGAAAATAAGCCTTTTTGAAAATTCATGACTTTTGGCCAAAATGAGGGGCTATAACCCCTTGCCATTTTTGTCAAAAAGTGACATTTTTTCACATTTCATGAAATGATCTGCAAAAGCATAATTTGAATAGACAGGGGTCATGATACCTTGTCAAGATGAAAGGTTATGAAAATGAGCCTTTTTAAAAATTCATGAGTTTTGGCCAAAATGAGGGGCTAACCCCTTGCCACTTCTGTCAAAAAGTGACATTTTTTCGCATTTCATAAAATAATCTGCAATAGCACATTTTTAAAAGACTGGAGTCATAAACATCTTCTCAAGATGAAAAGATATGAAAATAAGCCTTTTTGAAAATTCATGAATTTTTGCCAAAATGAGGGGCTAACCCCTTGCCATTTTTGTCAAAAAGTGACATTTTTGTACAATTCATGAAATGATCTGCAATAAGCATATTTTTAATAGACTGGGGTCAAAGAGTTGAAATAATATGAAAATAAGCCTTTTTGAAAATTCATGAATTTTGGCCAAAATGAGGGGCTAACCCCTTGCAATTTTTGTCAAAACGTGACATTTTTTTCACATTTCATGAAATGATCTGCAAAAGCATAATTTGAATAGACATTTTTTTACATTTCATAAAATAATCTGCAATAGCACATTTTCAATAGACTAGAGTCATAAACACCTTCTCAAGATGAAAAGATATGAAAATAAGCCTTTTTGAAAATTCATGAATTTTGGCCAAATTGAGGGGCTAACCCCTTGCCATTTTTGTCAAAAAGTGACATTTTTGTACATTTCATGAAATGATCTGCAATAAGCGTATTTTTAATATAACTCTGAGTTCAGTGTTATCCCGGAGTACTTTTGTTGCGCGCGTTAGCCATTCATTAACGTAAATAAAAAAACCGCGGTAATTTTGTGGCGGTTACCCGCTTCATATCTGAATGAGCCTTGATGATACATGCGTAAATCATTTCAACATTACACTAAGAAAAAAGTATCACACATAATGATTGTCTCTCACCTACCCGTATACGGTGCGATTTTTGTTTTCTTCAAATATATATGATTATACAGTGTATCTTAATATATATATATATATATAAATTCAAACAAAATCGTTGACCCGTTATTTATATTTACACACATTGTAAAACTTTACATTCAAATTGAATGTGCTTGAACGATAATCATGCACAAACACACACACGAAAATGAAATCAGAAATGAAATACAGTACATGTTAAAGCGGTTGAAAGGTAGGAAGTATTTTCGGAAAGTCATGAAGTGTATAATATCTCTAATTGGATTATGAAAATTATAGTTTCTTACTCAAATTATGTGGAACATAATTTTAGGCAGTAGAATTTGGCATTTAAGTTTTCAGAACTGCCTATGGAAAATCTGGAGAAATTATTACGATTATGTTATCCTTGAAATTGATATGAATGAATACTGATCCAGATGACGAATACAGTATTTTGATCAAGAAGATCTGTTTAACAACTTATCCTTGTATTGTTCAGGGCACATAATAAATTATATTTTCTTAATAAAATAGTTATTATCATATCGATAGAGCCAAACAACTGTCAATTGCGAGGATTATTAAAGATAGAAGTTACTTTTGTACTCCACGGTCCTGCTGATTCTCAATAGGAATCTTTTTTTGCTCTATGTTCCTGCGACATATGCTTTCATTAAAAGCATAGCTGTACATATAATACTTCATAAGAAATAAGATTTAGCCAATGGGTATCGTTGGGTCATTTTCATCGGGTTGTCCGACCAAAAATCAGCACAAATTTTGCCAACAAGCAAGAGAGAAAAGAACTGTGATTTGCCGACAAGGCGCAAAATAAATATTAAATATAAAGAGAAACAAGTATTTAAAAAAAAAGGCATTTAATAATCAAATAAGATTTCGCCCTCCCCGATCCCCTTTCCTAAAGCGAAGCCCTTGGAAGAGCTTTTTTTGCGACTTGGGGCTCTCTTTTCCACATGAAATGAGGCCACTCGATTGATATAAAACTAACGATTCCGCTCTTCTCTTGCACACTATAACATAACTCCACAAAATAATAACTGATTGTCATCGTGCTTGATGTAAGAAGAGGGTTTAAAGCTAAATAATCATGGTTTAGACCGTCAATGATGGTCCGCCTAACAAAACATAAAAGTTAACATTAACCCAAATAATGTTCATACATAAAGGGAATGCCATCTGAACAATGCAAAACACTGCGTTGATCGATCGACCCGCGGCAAATGCGCCAATCGTCTTCAAAGCATTGATTGGTTTATATAATTATGACTTTGTATGCTGTATATGACATCGAAATCACGCTTTGTGTGTGATAGGAATTGCCCAGCGCACGGGAGGCGTCATTTACCCGACATAAATTATAGGCATGCGTCAGCATCTTGAGCGATTTTGGACGCGGTAAATTATGAGGGTGACATCGCGAACACTAATTTAATGTAAATGTACATGTACTACCATTGCGTCAAGTTAGTGGCGTACGCATCAATTGACTTTATTAGCTTATGAAGACGAAAAAGGGGAAGTGAAATGACACCTCGTGTACAACGTGTATTAGTTTTATATACTAGCTACACAACATAAAAACTTTCAATTCAATCGTCACATATATCCAACAAATCCCTTTATATTCGGCAGCTCTCTCTGCCGATTCCTAATGCTCCTTGACGGGCCATTATTTGACAGAACCACAGTCGCAGGAGGGTCCTGCCACGCCACAGCCTTGGCGGGTTTGCCGGACCCCCTTTCCTCGGCCCTGCTGATCTGAGATGCTGGAGGAAAGGGCAGCGGAGAGTGTGATCGGCCCTGAGGGTGGGGCGCGGTCATGGACCGCTGGTGATGCGGACGGGAGCGGCGTAGCGATTGGTGTCTGTTGCTATGGTATTGAAGATGCTGTGCGTATTGGTAAGGAGGAGGATGCGTTGCCGAGGTGACGGCGGATGTTGACACGCTACCCGGTAGATAACGGGAGGAGTGGCGATGGGCTTGGGAAGGGAGGGTGTATTCGCTCCCTAAGCGATGGATTGGAAAGGCATCTGAGGAAGAACAAGTTATAAAGAAAAGGTGACATTTTCGGTTGAATATTCAACAACAACAAATCCCTTCTTTTTCATGCATTTGCTTTCAAAATATTGGACAAGATCAATTTTTTTAAACAATATAATGGACCGTATCTATAAAATTGGTAAAAACCTCAATCAGATGCTTACATTAAAACAACAGTATGCAATGATTTAGACCATCAGGCCTTCTCAACTGGCGGCGCGCGCGCCACTTGTGGCGCTTGCGGTCAGTCGGAGTGGCGCGCGACTGTTGCAACAACAAAACAAAAAACAGAGAGAAAGAAAATATATATTTTAGAATTAAATACTCAGCTAAACAAGAAGTTGCAGTCGAATTTGAGCCCAAAATGCCTGCTTAACAAACAGGAAGAAAGGGGAATTTATCGTTTTTTACCATTTTATACGAATCTAAACCTAAGGTCTGAACAACAATTAGCTGACGATGGGATACCAATTTTTAACATTGTCAATTTCTGGATACATCTTGTTTTTGCTTGTTTGATTTTCACTTTATTTTGACATTTCCCGTGTTTATTGCACACACAAAACTACATATACCTCCAGTGTAATTGTATCCAGGAATTGTACTAATTTTTTCACATCAATATGAAATTATGATTGATTATATTGTGGAATGAAATGGTGCTAAAAGATGTCCTATTTGGGCCTTTAGAAAGCCCTAAATCCACGAGCTTCAGGGGGCTTCGCCTCTGGACCTTACCAAATGTTCGGCTCGGTCGCTACGCTCCCTCGCAGCACAGTCAACCATACAGGGTGGCACTTCAACTACAAATTCTTTTCGTTTTGGCACTTCTAATAAACTAGTTGAGAAGGCCTGATTTAGACTATGCTGGGAAATTGACCAATAATATGTATGTCTCTCTCTCTCTCTCTTTCCCTCATTAAACAAAAAAAGCTGATGACATTTTAAAAAATATATACTTACTATGCGGCTGGTAAGGGGCATGAAGTTCGCTGATCTGGGTGTCCATACTAGTCTCTTTGTCCGGGACACTCGTCAACGGGTCATCCGAACCATTCTTTGTGTCCAGGCTCTCAATGTGAACAGCCGGGACAGTTTTAGCACGTTCCAAGCCCCGTTTGGTGTAAATCATTTTTTCACCTCCATGGAACGAATGTCTTTTCCCTGGCATTTGGGCGGCATTTCGCCCTGCAGATCGCCCAACCATTTGATCCGGCGCCGTGACCTTCCCGTTGACTATGAAAATGCAAGTGTTGTTCTGCAGGGAGGGTGCGGAGTTTGGGCTTGGCAACGTCCTCGTTTTGGCGGGTAAGGAGCTGTGGACTCGCCGAGGGAGATGAGAGGTAGTTTTGTTGTCTGGAACTTTTTGAACGTGTTTCGTTTTACTTTGTTTTGGCGCTTCCCCTGTGTCCATTTTGCTTCCAGTTGAATTCATATCGCTTCCTTCACTATTCGTACTCCTAACGCTGTTATTTTTACTATGATCTTTTGTACTTTCGTCACTGTTCTTTGAATTGGTTTGCAACTTGCTCCAAGCCTTTCGCATGTCATCCTGAATTTCTCTTTTTGTTGGAGACACGGAGTACTTCGGAGTTTTCTCTATCGGGGAATTCGTATTCTCGAGTTTCATCCGGTCGCTCTTGAGTTTGTTTTCCATATCGAAGTTCTGTTCCTTTGCCGCCATACTTCTCGTCCCGCGTCCGCTGATTGGACGACGAAGCGCAAGCACTGGTGATGGCTTCTCTTCATGCTCCGCCTCCATCGTATCGTCCACGCCCGCCCCCGTTAACACACTAACCATCTCGCTCCGATCGCTGTCGAGGACATTGTTACTTTCCGGGTAGCCCCACCCCATTGCGATCCGCTTAGCCAATAGGCAGTAGGCAGCATTCTCGGAAGTTGGTCTATTTTCTTGCACGCATTCAGTGAGAATATCCTCCTGATGACCGCATTGCACGAGCGCTTTGATGATGCGTTGATCCACCAGAGGTTTAGGGGTGGAGTCCTCGAAGCGGGAAGGGTAGAGACGCCGCGAGTATCCCCTGTTCATCCATGGATGCCGCATAATATCAGGGAGTTTGATGCGGTCTAGTTCCTTCGGTTCTAAAAGCCTTCTGAGAAGGTCTCGGCAATCTGAAGCATGCAAGTAAAATGGGAAATGGTTATAGATTTCGTTCAGCATAAGAGATAAGAAAAGTTCGATGATAATTGTCACCTCATATGAAAACGAAAAATAATGTGATAAAAAAGTTTTTAAAAAGTCATGATGAAGATCGCAAGAAAAAGAACAAAACGTTTAACCCCACGGTGAGGGGTAATAGTAGCGTATTTGTCTATGTATTCGCAAATTTGGTCCGTCAGTTCCCTACTTTCTGAAGAGACACGTACCGTCCATGCATATGAAAGGAAATTGATTATAAAAATGTTTTCATTAGATGTTACCTTTTGTAAGAGTATCTGGTATGGTGGCGCCCTGCATGATCCTTGCGTGTAGCTTACTCATGTTGTTGGGCGGGTCCACCACGAAGGGTAACTCCCCTGTCAGCATGGCGTACATGTTCACCCCTCTAAGGAATTAAAAAAAAAAAGGACTCAAGGTTCAAATCAAGTTCACCTCATATTGGCCCACCCACGAGACCACAAATAACAAAGTTATGTGATGTGTTACGAAATCGACACGTCGGTCTTGGAGGCACTTTCTGACAGGTTTCAGAGAGTTCACGGATCGACATCCCACGAGGTCAACATTTCGGTCTCGCAGCCCTTCTACTTTTCTGACAGTCAACATGCCCCCTCTCTCCCCCTCCCCACGACAAATATGTGGGCTAGGGGCGCTTAGGTTCTTGCATTCATTTTCTACATGTGCCTCGCTACAAATCATTTGTAAAACGGGGGGCCTGAATAAATTGGAAGTGGGGGGGGGGGAGAACGTGAAGCCCAAGTCCCCTCTAGAACTGCTTCTGCCCTCCGACACCCAATGAGGAGAATCGGCAAGGGGTCATTTTTTTAAGCAAGATCTTGACTTACATGCTCCAAACATCGACAGATGGGCCATAGCTTGAGTTGCAGAAGATCTCCGGGGCAGCGTAGGCCGGAGAGCCGCATTGCGTCCGAAGAAACCCGTCGTATCCAAGAATATTACTCAGTCCAAAATCTAAAGAAAAAGAAAAAAAAGTGAAATAAATCTGCGTGATTGATTCGGCGGAATAACTCCTAGTTCCCCCTTTTCCCTCGCATGCTCATACCTTGAAAAATATAATCCAATCCCAGAATCCAATCCTAGACATTTATTTCATTCATTAGCCTATTCGACTACATAATATTTACGCGTGGATGTCGCTGACAAAATGTTGCCAATAGGATTCCTGATTTTGTTTGTAAATATACTTTTCTAAATTGAGAATCATCGTCTGACAACAATTTGAGATTTGCCGACAAATTCTTGAGGTATTGCACCTCCCCCCCCCCCCCCCCCTCCCACTCTCCCCCTTCATTCCACATCCGAGAAGCTCATGATAGCTGTTAAACGCTCTCAGTAATGATTGTACAGTAGTAACAAGTAAAATGATTAACAACAATTAATGATACAGCCGAACATTAGGCCAAAATGTTGCCCATCCATGATCATGCGTTGCTTTACATCATTATTTTAACAGCTATTTCCTCCTTGCCGTATATCACAATAAATGGAAAATAGGTTTTATTCAGAGGAAAAAAACACGAAATGGAGCATAGACTTGTTATTAATCTGTTTACAAAACTTACCTATTACTTTCAGATTTTGGTCGTTATCCAGAAGAAAGTTCTCGATCTTGATATCCCTGCAATACAGATATTTAAAAAGAAAACAATTTGATGAAACAGAAGCCAGTTACAAATGCTAGTACCCCCCAATGATGGTCCATACATTACCCTTCCCCCTAATTACCTTCACCACCACATCACCCTAACAATCGTATTAACACTTTGATTGCTTTCGTCGCCTCTTTGCACGGTAGTACGTTTGCCACGTGTGCAATTTCGCACAAAATAATCGACCACAGTATGAATTGTTTTGTGCAACACAATGGTTGTCCGAAATAAATTATACTTTCAGAGGAGTATCAGAGAATTCGTCCAAAAATCGCTGTGTTCTTTCACATGAAAGGTATGTAGCCAAGGACGTCGACTGGTTTAGTTAATAGCCAAAAGCACTCTACGAACCTGTGAATGACGTCGAGGTGGTGCATGTGATCGACGGCGGTGACGAGTTGCCTGATATATCTTCTCGTCTCTCGCTCACTCAACTTTCTCCTCTTACACAGGAAGGACATGAACGTGCCGCCCTCTGCGAGCTCCATGACCAGGTAGTAATTACTAGCCGTCTCAAGAACCTGCAAGGAGAAAATAGTTCGTCATAATTAACTCATAAAGATGGTTCCTAATAAACAGAGACATAGGAGTACATTCAATTGCTGGCTTCATATTTCTGATATTTGAAAGAATTCATGATCCCGTTTTAATTCATTAGGACCCCAGCTACCTCACTTTGTCTTAAGGAATTATGAATACCCTTTCATTTGTTTCATTGTTGGAAAAACGAAGATACTTTCATTTCACGAAATTGCAAACGTTCACTCTTATTGTAAAGTTCGTCACCACAAAGGTTCTTTTTTTTTATAACGAACCTAGGGGTGACAAACTTTCGGAACCTTTTGGAGAAACGAATTTGTAATGGCTACATAACACGAGACCGACAGTGTTGGTCTCTCACGGGCCGTCTGCAAATTTATCAAAGCAATTGTGAGGGCTTACGAGACCGACTGCCAATAAAACCGACGTCTTCCGGGCCCTTTAACAAATTTTGTTAAAGGGATCATGAGACCGATATGCTGGATCTGAGGGGCTGTCAGTCTGATCCCCGTTGGTCTCATAATTTATTATGAAGTCGGTCTAATATTATAGGTTGGCTCCATCGACTAAAACGAATTTTTTAAATAAATTAAAATTTAAAAAACGGCCATAACTGATCTTTCTTACCTCATAGAGTCGAGCGATGTTGGTATGGCGCATCTTCTGAAGAACGGTTGCCTCTCTGCGTAGATTCTTACGAACGTAGTCTCGATTGGCGATCAACTTCTTATCAATTACCTTCACGGCAACCTGGAAAATATAAGGACGATGTTATTATCCCCGTGAGTGACTATCCTTAAGGAACTACCCCCGCCCCCTCCGAAAACTTTGAAATTACCAATATTCGGGCAACCGCCACCTCATATCCTGTCATATTCGGCAACCTAGTATAATTTGATGAAAATAATACATTTTCGCTTTGATAAAGTTTCATATTTTTTCGCTTGTGCGCTTTACTCTCTCGCAAAATATAGAAATTGGAAAGTATTATTTATTTGTAGTCTTGAACAATCATTTGATGTTCAATTCGATTTGGTGAGGATTCATTATACGTCATTACCAACACTCAAGGTTTTCCTCGGAAGAAAGACACACCCTTTCCTTGAACATGGACCCACATCCTATCTTACCCACCCGCACACAGCCTTTGATCAACCTTCATTTGTGGTTTGCATGCGTTTAGCAGACAACACATCTACTAAGACCGAGCTAGCTATCGATCCTATCGATCGCAAGGGGAGAGAGCACTTTCTCCTAAATCTGAATCCAAGCGTGCATGGCTTATCAATATTTAACGAGTGCGTTAAAAACAAAATGAACATTCTTTGTCATTCATGCATTCCTAATATGAGCTGTTAAAAGGAATGATTGTTATTTCAGATTTAAACAAAATATTTATTTTTTGTACTTTCCAAAGTAATATGCCTATCCTATAAACCCCCAAAATGTAAAGTCATGACTGTTTTGCTTTATGAATTCCCTTTCTCTTTGTCTCAAGGACGCAGACATGTTTACGAAGTCATTCTAAAAGCAGTGGTGTATCTTTTAATGATATAAAAGACCAGTAAGCAACTCTTCAAGCCCTTTCTGGATTGTTTCGAAAGCTGATCTTTAAGTGTATAACGTGTAATTAAAAGTTTTACAAGAGGGAAAGATTGAGCTTAATACCTGTTTGTTTTTGGAAAAGGTTACGCGTAATTAATAGCTTATATCCCAAGATGAACTCGAGAAAATAATAACCATATTCTGGTGTCAATTTTTTTTTTAAATAATCCATTTCCTTTTTATAATCAAATGAATACACAGTCGATGAAATATACATTGATTGTACATACAGAGAGGAAAGAGGCGAAATTCCCTGTAAACCCGGTGCTTGACGATCTCATTATTATGTAAATTGTTATAAACAAAGGCAGATAAAAACATTAATCTTCATAGAATAAGATGAGGGACCGTTAGAAAGATGGGAATTAATGGCCCATGATGGAGCTTCAAGGGGGCGCGAGCCACCCTCTTCCGCAGAAAGGACGTGCCAAAGAAGAAATAGAACAGGCGAGTAAGTGCGCGAAAGGAAAAGGGAAACAAGGGGGGAGACGAGAAAAAAAGACGCATTGACACCTCCACCCTCTCCCTAATCAGCTGCCTTTTTATTTCCTGGGGAAGATACCTCCAACCTGCCCCCCCCCCCCTATTATTCCAGTCCCTCAATGGGTGGACTTACGTTACGCCATTGCCAACGGTCTTACCTGTTCTTGAGTTAGGATGTGAGTTCCAAGACGAACTTTGGCGAAAGAACCTTCGCCGATGACATCTCCTAAGATGTAGCCCCCGACTTTCTTTCTGACGACCACGCCGTCCGATCTCGACTTCCTTCTCCTCCTCTCAGGCTGACCACAATCTCGACCACCGTTTCCAGTATTGCCTCCTCTATCCTCTTTCTTTTCTCCGCCATCGCCAACGCATGCGACGTCGCGACCGACATCGCCATTGGACGACGGCGCAGTCTCCTGGCCGAGTCGGTTGACGGGAGCCGGGGACATGGTGGGATTAAGATGCGGGCTTGGTAGCGCTACAACCGCGCTAGCCATATTCCATCTTCATGATGATATTGTCCTTATTGAATAATGTCCAAAGAGATCCTTTGGAATTTACTTCAGATACTGCGGGAACATCGTTAAATGTTTTCCTTCTTGGGTGACGAAAGCGACATCTCCGCCAGAGAGTTGAAGAAGTTTTTTTATAATTCCAAATATCAAGATCTTTTGTACGCCTTTGTTTGAACCCTCTTACGTGAAACCGCGTTCTCAAACAGATTACTCTTCAGATGAAGATTCCTTTTCACAAGTATCAAAACATTTTGCTAGAAAATTCCAATATTTGACCAAGAATGTTCTAAGGAGAGCGTATCGTGCATGAAACTCGTTTGATGAATCGCGCAGACGACAGGCCTAACGATAAACTTTCACTTTTTCTTCAAGCGGGTGATACGTACTACACCCACAGTGACTTGGGTTGTTCCTAAGGAAGGGGTATATAACACATCACCCCTTCACGACCGCAAAACCGCTATAAAAGAGGCTGGGACCCTCCTCCATTATACCCCATAGTGAAAAGGTATGCATCGATCGATACTTCGCGCTAAAATGCGATCAATAACCGACTGAATGGCCAATTCAACTTGCTATCCAAGGTACAAAATCTGACAAAAAAGACGAACAAAACACTTTTAAAGCGGGGCCTGTTCGATACTAATCATACTCGTTGTTTCCCCCTGTCCCTACCCCCTTCTCAAGATGTATATGTGATAATCTATTGATAGTCCAAGCAAACATTCGAGCCAGTAGACTTTATAGCATTGTTCAGCCCAAATCAATCCATGTCTTTGTATTTTGTATGAGGGTTGTACGTGTAATTATCGAGGGTTGGCGAAAGAAGTGCCTTCGAGGCGGTAGATTGGATCCTCGGAAATTGCTTGATAAGATATTAAGAGTCACTTACTTAGCAACCACTGGAAGCGATATACATTTAGAAATGTGTATCATCCGTTAGTGAACATTTCAGTTCAATTGCAACCAAAAACAAAACAAATTTGACAGAATGCATGTACAGTTGTACCCATCGCTTGAAAGAAAATTACGTCATCACGTTTGCTTTGGTTTATATTCCGAGTATGTGTGTCCCTCTCTCTCCCTCCATTTTCATCCCCTCTTCATAATTTTTAGTTTCACTTACTCCAGTTTTGATCACTTCTCCATTTGCATGCATCCCGTCAGTCTTTCATTCATTTAACCTCCCCCTCGGCTTTCCTTCTCTTCTCCCTTCCCATTTGCCTTGTCCCTTCTTTCTCCTCTAAATCCTCTTCATAATTGTGCTCTTTCTTTCTTCCTTTCCTCTTCCATTCTTTTTCTTCTCCTCCTTTTCCTTCTTACTCTCCCCTGTCTTCTTCATCCTCTCCGCCTTCTTTCTGTTTTTCTCATCCTTTTACTTCTTCATCCTCTCCTCCTTTCTCTTCTCTTCTTTTCTCATCCTTTTACTTCTTCTTCACATCGCCAGGTATAGAAATTCAACCTTCAACTCTCCAATACTCATCCATAATAAGACTTTTAAACAACGTATTACAATTAATCATTTAATGTGGAAGAATCTATCTATCATTCCATTTTCTACACAAGATTAAGAATTTCCAAACTTCTCATTCAATAGAAATCTTACATTTTTGGACAGACTTCTTCATTTTTTTTTATTGTACAGTACCCAATTACAGTGATTTAGGGGGAAATCTTATCTTTGTTCATCATTTATGATTAAGAACAAAGATTAAACCCAACCTTGAAGATTTTCAGAAAAAGGAGACATTCCTAAATGATTTTTTTTTTTAAAGAAGGGGAAAAAAAGAGGAAAAACCACCAATATTTGTCATGAACACAATATAAAGAAAAAACAAAAAGCGAGAAAGAGGACTGCATGGTATTTGACTCTCATTAATCAACCATGTATATAGCCAACCATTCCCTTTGAAATAATTGTCACAAAATAGAACTTATCAAAGTACAGTTGTCTGGAGAGACTAAATTCTACGGTTGAGCCAGTCATCACCTCAAAGTGATTGTAAAGTGGTCATACAGGCAGCTTTTAGACCTATCCACTGATTCAAACAAAAACTGAACTAGTTGCATAATAAATAAATACCTAACCCTATTACCTAATGTGGGACTGTATCTGATACATGTTGTCTTAAATCCCGTCTGTACTAATTTGGTCACTGACAGGTGGCTATCTCATCAACTCGGCTCTCAATTTACATAAGAAAAAGAGGATCATGGTGGACCAACAGGCACTGCTTAGGCATTGTTTTCTATAGAGGGAGCAAGTAGCTACAAGTAGTAAAGTTGGGCTTTAATTAATGTAGATAATCTTGCAGTGTAGTTATCATTTTTCTGAGGCATCCCATTGTCTTTCCTGAAAAAGGTCAAGCATCTATACACTTTTAATTCACTCTCTCAACCTCATAATCAGTTGTATTATATCGAATACGACTTTTTTTATGAATATTTGATTACTAGTAATATGTAATGAAAGTTGGGATACTAAGAAAGCTAACTGATTTCCTTAGTCATGATGAAATCATTCAAAATTGTGAATATATTTAGAAAGTTTCTCCTTTTGTTTTGGTCTCTTTGGGTCATATAAACTTGGCAAAATGTTCTTGAATCAAAGCAGTTCACAGTACTGTAATCAAACATTCTGAAAAGAGGATAACATTTTGACTTGTGCGGAAGTTTTCTGGGTTAACAAATTTGCTAGCTTTTTGGCGAGCCACATTACATACGAAAAGTTTTTGTTCATAATCATGTACCATAACTGATCTCTAGTTAAAACACTGAGCATATGGTATCTCTTTCTCTCTATGACAACTTGTAAATCTTCCCAGTACTTCCTTTATAAATGATAAGGAGTTTGGGAAAAGACATGATTTGGTTGAGTTCACGCTGAACCATATGATCATTAGATGCAACAATGTAGTTTTGGTATAAGATTCAAAAGCCTGCACCAAATTGCCCCACAGATCTGTGACAGTTCTTAGCAAACCTCCACGTTACGTAGCCTCTCCACGATAAGCACAAGAGCTCAACTTGAAATATGCCTTTAAGTGAATGTCGTTTCCAGGGTTATATGGTTCCCTTGGGGATATGTTTTTCCCCGATGTTAAATCTATGCCATCTCTAGGAGTCAAAGGTCGTGGGCTTGATGGTGACACCTTTCCTGATTTGACCCCAACCAATCAACCTATGAGAGAAGGGCAAGAATATTCTTAGTAATTTAGTCACTTTACTACTAACATGAATGTACTTAAAATGTTGGGGGGGGGGGGTTCTTCCTTTTATTTGTTTAACTACAAATAACCCATTCAACTTAATTCTCTCTTCTTTTTTCTTCTCATTACACATATCAGTGTCTTATGAGTGCATTTCAATTCAGAATATAGGATTGTGAGCAAAAAGTTTAGCCTACTTCCATTTCCACTTTACATCTATGAATTCAAAGCCTCGTTGCTCTTAACGGTCAAACCAGTCTGTAATGACCACACAAAGGACAATTGGTCACTGTGGAAAGGAGGCCTATCTAGGTCGCTGACAAATTTTTACTTTTTTGAGGCTCTTCATGATCATTTTGAGGTCCAATTTGTTAGGGCTTTATTATTACACCATATCACAGACATTGATAACACGTAGGGCCATAAATCTCATATTTGTAAAACTGGAAACATTGTTAAGCAATGCTTTTAATACCCACAACCTCATGATTGAAGAAAAAAAATTAAAGGCTGTCTGTACTAGTTTGGCAAGGAGGGATTAGACCACCCAGGGTGGTCACTGACAGTTGGCTATGTCATCAACTCAGCTCTCAATTAACATAAGAAAAAGAGGATCATGAAGTACCAATGTTCACCGATTAGGCATTGTTTCTATATAGCGGGAGCAAGTAGCTAGTAGTACAGTGGGGCTTTAAAGAAAAATATCAAAACTGGCTTACCTCCAATGTTTCTCCACTCTCCTACTGAGGGCGATCTTCTCTCCGATCTCCGTGCAGACTGGATTCGTCAGAACGATCTTGGCCAAATCAGCCTTGACGGCCAGCACTCGACCTCCCGTGGACAGTGACCCAATGTTGACCATGAGCACCTCGCCCTTGGTCAGCTTTTGAACCTGTATGGTGTAAAACATCCAGATGTTGTAATAGCTGTATTGCTAATTAGCACAAATCCACAGGGTTTTTTAACATGGAGATGCTACATGCTGTGCATTATAGAATAACTGCTCTGCGAGCCAGGAGGGGTTTTGTCAAAAGATTTTATTCCTGTTATAAATGAATACATCCACCTGTAAAATTTAAGTCTCTAATTGTGGAACTTACAGAGGTTAATGGATCTCATTGATTTCATTAATTTCTCTATTTATTTCTAATCTTTTGTCAGGGTAGCCCATTCACCAATAAGTAGTGGTCTTCCATGGGGCCCTGAATAATTATGTTTATGTCAAAAAGCATAACGTCTATACAGAACAGTTAAAATAAAATTCCATTAATCTGCTAATTTGAACTCTACTTCAACAGGTTTGTTGAAGTTTGCATTTTATGCCTTTTGAAATAACTTTTACAAAATATTTTCAATGATGCTAACGGCTTTCCATAATTGTTAAGTCCAACTTAGAGATAAGTTCAACTTAGGATCTTTGTGAAACACCCCCCTGGTTTAAGAGAGGCTAAATAATACAACATTCAACACACAGCTTCGTGATCATAAGTTATAGTAATGATTTAGTGAGAACATTTCTGACTGACTGACCTTAGCTCCTTTCTTGTCTCCTTCGGTCCTCACACCGAGCAGCCTCCTGAGAAGGAAGTACGAGATCTCAAGCTCTGTGTAGATATCAGGGAGAGCCCCTACAGCTCCCAGCACCTGACCCACAAGACGATCAGCTCGACATAGGGTGGGGTCAATCTTTGTACCAACACCTATAGAGAAAGATAACAGAAACAGGAATGTAAGATATATTAACAGTAGAAGTAGGGAAAGCATAGTATTTTTTTAAGATCTGTATATAAAGATATCTGGGAGAGCCCCTACAGCTCCAAGCATCTGACCAACAAGACGATCAGCTCGACATAGGGTTGGGTCGATCTTTGTACCAACACCTATAACATAAGGATAAGTTAAATGTGTACTATAGAGCAGCATTACCACTTTTAGGTCTAAATAATAAAAACAAACTGTATCATGGAAGAAAAATTATATTAAATTAGAAAACATCTGATATTAAACTAAATCCCTTTCATCCAAAATTCTTTTTGAACTTCCTTTCTTTTTCCCTCCTCACCTTTCGAACCCTTCCTTCTCTAATTCTTCTGTTTAAACTTTTCCTCCCTCTTCTTCTATTTCATATCATTCAAATTCTATATGTATTCATTTATCTCAGTTCATCTTCCGTGTACCAATCAGGTAAATTAAACATACATGTTTAACCCATTGGTAACTAGAGATTTTGTAAAAATGGCCTTTTACTCACTGGAAGATGTTTCAATATTGCTCTCATTTTGACATTGTTCTTTCTATACAGAATCCTACTTAAGACATAAGGATTACGCACGGCGTAACATTATCACAGTAGACCCTAGAACAGATACTATAGCTCGTTGAAAATGGACGGGCGGTTTTGTTGCTAAAGGGATAATTCATAAATTTTTGATAAGAGCAATTCTTGACTCCCGCTGTCACAGTTCTTACCAATCAGGCCTCCTGGAACAGCAAACTGGAGATCATTCTTCTCAGCAAAGAGAGACACAATCTTAGAGAAGATGGGTCTACACTGAAGCTTGCCTTCGCTGTCCTTGGACACGATGCCAGGCCGGACCTCAATCTCCTGCCCAACCTGTCGTATAAAAGTAATAAATTACGATTAAAGATGAAGTTAAGTTCTGG